TGGTTCATCGCAATTTCACGGACATGCTCCGGAGATATACCGTCGGCCTGGACGAGGCAAAGAAAGTCGCCATTTTGAAACTCGGGAAGAGGCGTAATGAAGCGTCAAGCTATGAGTTCATCTCACTCTTCAAAACAGCATGCAAGTTGTTGGGGCGGGTTCGCCTGGTTTGCCTCACGCCTATCGTAGAGCCAATACTGCCACATGAGCAGGCAGGTTTCCGGCCAGGAACGAGCTATGCCGACCAAGTAATCGCATTGACATGTTACATCGAATCTGACTTCTAACGAAGGCGAAGGCTGGGGTCGTTCCCACAGACCTTAGCTGCGACCTCGACACGGGATGATTTGGAACCTAGCAAAGACGCCGTGCACCTCTTACCATCAACGCTGAGCAACAGACGATTTCGTGTATACCTAGGTGGCAAAATGAGCTCAACTAAGATAGTCAACGACTGATTACCGCAAGGCTCCTCCTGGTTGGCCAGCTCTTCAGCAACGACATAAACGACATGCCGCAAACATCAGACAGAATGTTTGCCTGTGCAAAAGATGTCACTTGCATTCCAAGGAAAAAGTCATGACCAAATCGGCCGAACTCTAACCGCCTACCTAAAGACAACTGAAGAATACTGCAAACGCTGTCGCTTCCGCAGAAAACAACTGCTAATTTTTCACCCTAAAAGCCGTCTAGCGAAAGCTACCCACAAGGTACCGTTCGGCAGCAACCGAGTGAAAAAAGAGATTCACCCAAAATATCTGAAAGAGTAACCATGGACAGACCGCAGGTTCATGTTTCGAGAATATCTTCGAAAGACCTAGTCAAAGACCAAAGGCTCGCAATAACATCGTGAAGAAACTTGTGGGAACAAGCAGTCCTCATCAACGCATATCTTAAATGGGAGTACTGTTCTGCGATGTGGCTCCAAAGCAGCCATAAAGAGAACCTTGATTCGATCCTTAACAACACCATTATGATCGTTAACAAGAACCCTCCACAGTACTCCACTTCGATGGTTACCGGTACCCTCTAACATACCTACACCGGACATAAGAAGATGCCACAACTGTCTAAAAGAATACTGCAAAATCTAGGGTGAACCAAACCTACCTATACACTAAGAAGTCAATAACCATCCTACGGCAAGACTGAAACTGCGGAAACCGTTCTGGCAAGCTGCCCGTGGATCAACGGATTTTTCTGACGATAGTGATGAGTGGATAACAATCTGGCATAGTTCTAACGTGCCAAACGACCACCTAACTGGTGATCCGACAAGAACACTACAAGGGTTACACATGGCCCACAAATAATTGGCAACTTTGAACAGGATCCGTACGACCAACGCCACGACAAATCACAACCTGCACAAGTGATGCTACAAAGAATTCTCGGCACGCAAATGTAGCTACCCATACCAAAGAGTCGACTACAGCGTCAGAGAGCGCAAATCAAGAAAGTTCGAAAAAAGATCGCCGCATTACTTGCACTGGAAACCGGTTTCATTGCCTCGTTATCAAAATTAGACCTCATCCTTTAGCAGTTGCCGCCATACGCAAGAAGAATCAGCGCCTCCATGATGTTTTTTGAACGTCATCCTTTTTCACCGCTTAGATGGTTTCTCAGCGCCCAGGCACCATACAATAAAACAGAACGCAAGCATAACTGAGTCCCAACGGTTTACATGGTGCTACTTGAAGTCAGATGACGGAATAATCCGGAGAGAGAATAAAGACTTATCTAAAACCACTGGGAATGAACAAAATAGCCGTAGACGCATCTGAGGACATCGCACCAAAAAACAGCTGCTAGAGGCGGACTTGCTTGCGACGAGAAACATGATCCTTGCCGCAGGAACCAACATCATCTAAATCATTCTGAGAAACCAAAGCGTCGGAAATCGCTAAACTGCGCATTCGATACTTCACCTTGATACCTCAGATGAGGATAACAACAACAACACGGTGCCGTAGTACTTCCTTCCTTCTAGATGTCTAGGAGGCCATTTAAGCATAAAACAGATATATTTAGGCACCTGCAATACATACAAGTATCTCGCATCATTTTTTTGAATAGAGTAATCAAGTAATAAAGCTGTAAAACGAACAACAGAACATTCTGAAAAACAGAATGGTTAACATTTTACAAAAATGCATAAAAAACGACAACCTCAAACGTATAAACAAAATGAATGGTTTCGTCTTCTCTTCAAGCTCGAAGACTACCATATCACTTGCGATCATCATCCTTCTTTAGCTGCGTAGTAGACTGTAGGCTGGCCAATATTAATTTTTGCTTAGCTTAAAATTGGACACATATTATACTAGATCTTTACTGCGTTGGCAAAGGAACGATTCTGCATCGACAACATTTCGCCCTTCAGTGTCTACAGTTATGTATAGTGCTGGCCACCGCCCCTCGGTCGTCTATATCCGGAATTTTACATTAGCAGCTGATTTTTTCTTGTTCCTGTGTATGAGCAGCTAACCAGCCATGAGGACTGGTTAATTCTAAGCAGATAATCAGCCCATGCCAATCTTTTGTATCTAAGCACATCCAATATGTTTGTGTATTTAGCCAAAGCAAGAACGTTGCGGCTTCTGTCACGATCATCCCAAATGATCTTCGGTATGCATCGTAACCACGGCCGCAGGAAACTGTTCATTCAGCTCCGCAAATTGTTGCCAAGAAAACCTGGCCAGCC